TTATATCATCTATAATTCAACGCTTAGCCAAATTTAAGCATTGTTTACCATGCTCGAAACAGGTTTCTAGAGTTGCACAGCAGCAAGGTATTTTATGCTTAACGTCCATTATGCCTAACGTATATTATGCCAAACGAAAATTATACCTAATGACTTTATGCCTAACGTCCGTATGCCTAACGTATTTATGCCTAATGGGGTACACTGACCGCCCAGTATTACCAGATCTGCTGAAATTACACAGAGAACCAATAGACGATGCTTGAGACTAGCAATTATCCTCAATGTGTAAAAACTGGTGATCTCAAACTAGGCAATACCAGCGCTGGTCGCGCCCGAACACAGGTCAAGAAAGGAATGGGTAGGAATGCGCTGACGTGAGACTAGCTTTGATGGAAGCCGAGAACACCTCTGCACTTCCACGAGGAATCACTGGGATATTGGGTAAGAGAGTAGGGTTTGCAGCATGGTTCGTTTTGGTAAACGATAAGCTGAATTGATGTCCTAACGATCTGTTCAGTAATCAAAAACGTTTTCCACTAGGCAAACGAGCTCCTTTTTTGATCATCGAGTTGCTGTTATTACAATGTAGTCATATTACCAAATAAAACGATTAACGAATCTTGAATGTTGATGGGCCTGAGATTAGACTCATGATGTTCTGCTCAGTAAGCAAAAGCGGTCGATCTAAGGCCACCGAGCCCCTCGCATCACATCATACCGTTACTCGAGTTGTTGTGATCATACAAACCTGGCACCGACGACGACGACAAGTTTCGCAAAATACACGAGAAACAATATTAATATGAAAGGACCAGGAACCACGTTTTTCTGCTTAGTAAGCAAGCCACTGCAACCGGTGTTCGAACCTGCCGTTTGTTTTTTGCGTGGAGTTTTTTTTTATTATCTATAATCGGTGGCTGATCTGGCCATAACCTGGCCCAGGAGACAATTTCTAGTTCCGCATTCTAGGTCCCTATTATTTGCCAATGAGAAGCTGTTCCGAAGCCAAGTAGAACCTCCACGAGGCGTCCCATAATTCGTTCCATCATTACTTCCATCATTCGTTGAGTCACAGCGTTGAACCTGACTATTGGCCACGAAAAGGCTTCTCAAATCGAAGGAAAACTACTACCATAAACCGGACTAGACTTCATCTACAATTTGAACTTCTACATCAACACATGTCAGGCAGCCTTCAGGTTCAATTGGCTAAACTTGGTGAGTTCGTTCCATTTTGTAATTTTTTATCTTTTCAAACCAGTAACATTGGGTGTGGTGCGTTACTGGTATAAGATCAACCACCGAACCCTAGTCGTGACAACTTCAAACTAGGGAATCAGGATTTACCAGTAATCAAAGAATCACATTTTAGGCCTTGTTACTTTTTATCACTTGATAATAATGACAAGACTCGGGTAGTGACCACCGCAATGTTCTGCATTTTTATATTGTATATTTCAAATCAAAAATATTGTTTATGTTCATTGATTTTACATAATCTTTTTCCCTTTTTCCATTCCCTCTTCTCTTTTCAGAAAGCGAGTAATGGCGCTATAGCCATAAGTTATAAAAGGCTAGGAAAAGAGTAAGTGCTCATGCCCCAACCGTCAGAAGAAAATCTTAACCTTTCTAGCTTTGATGCTTCCAATAAACAACCAATCATATAATTACCAAAATCGGAACGTACGGTTCGAGATGTCCACGTTTCATCCATTTATTGTATTCTGAAGCATCTTCGATTTAAACAGGCCCGGTGTTCTCTGAATCATCTTGCCCCTTAAATGCTGCACTGTAGGCCTGGCCGTTTTGATATGTGTGACGCATCTTCGATGTGAAGCATATATCAATTAGACAAGAAAAAAATATGTAGGCATATATATAATTTTCCAGGATGCTTTCAAGAACTGGCTGTGTTGGTGTTAGATTAGATTAGACTGCAACCGAAGATCTTTCAAAATCGAAAACTATAAGCTACGAAAAAGTACTTAGACCTTCATTAAGTTCCCCTTTCACACGACGTTCCATGTTTCGATTTGCTCTTTACGAATTGTTCAGGTTATCATAACAAGCTATGGACCGACGTGACGATTGTTTAAGCCCTGATTAAACAAGCTATTCAAATGAAATTTGCAGCAGTTTTTCGAAAGCAGTCAAACGAATCTCACCTCTGTTCCTCCAATTTATGTTATTAACAATTTTCTACACTAGTGGCCAGGATGATAGATCAACTCAGTAATGTAATCAAGCTTGGGTTTCAACTAGCAATGGGTGATCTTGGATCGAATCACAAAAGATCGATTCATTTGGTTCGATTAATCGATTTTTTGAATCGATCTCAAACACGACAAAAATCGACTGGATCGATCCTTTTCATTCGATTTTTGTTTCGATCAATCAAAAAAAAAAAATCAGTGCATTTGCATTTGTAATTTAATATTGACCTGTACCTCGAGTCTTTAGCTCACGCTCGGGTAGTTAAAATTGTGTCTGAGCAGATCTATAGCACCGAAAGAGTATACGATGATTGCACACATCTGTACCCCCACCAAAACTAACCGGAGGTCTGTGGGATATTCATGACGAAATGGTAAAGAAAGTTATTAATCTACATCTACATTCACTTATTATGACATATTTCAGGTTCATTAGTTCTCTACTATGTCAGGACTGGATCGCCATGGGGGCATATCGGCAGAATTACAAAATGTATTGCATCAGCCTGTTTTACCACATTCTGTCGAACCTCCTCGAGCATGGGAGAAAATCCGTAGTGTATATCCCCATGCTCGAGACTATTGATCAAGAATGGTAACAAGTGTTCCGTTAGAGAGGCTATTCTTCAAAATTGGTGGAACCACACAGAATCGATATCGGCTCAATGCAAAACGCATGGCTCAATTAGTTTTCTTGGGATCCCTCTCGGATGAGTTTTGGGTTATATGAATTAAGTACTTAGGGGCTTTTCATGAACTACGTAGACAGTTTAGGGGGGGGGGGGTGTTGACAATTTTCCACGGCCCATACAAATTTTAACATTTTTGTATGGTCAATTGTCTACACAGGGGAAGGGGGGGGGGGATCAAGAATAAAAAAAACTGTCTACGTAGTTAATGGAACAGTCCCTTACCTGCTTTTACACTCTGACCATCTAATCGTTTTGTTTCATATGTTAATCTTCGTTCTTTAAATCGTTCATTGAATACAAATAAAACGAATTTTATAACCTGTTAAATCACTTACCTAACCAGAATCCTGAGCGAAAACTTCCACATGTCAAATGAAATCAAAATAGTCATTTACTATATTCTCAAGTAGACCATCCGTTAAAGAGTTCGATCCACGGTACACGGTAAAGCATGGAAGTGGTAGCATCATGGTTTGAGGCTTTTTTTTCTTGGTATGGAGTAAGTCCCATTTTCCATATTAATTCCATCATGACCAGATTTTAATACAAAGAAATCATGGAGGAGGTTATGCTCCCTCATGCAGAAGAGAACATGCCTCTTATATGGCATTTTCAGCAAGACAACGATCCGAAACCCAATTCTAAGTATGTAAAGGAATGGTTTCGAGCAAACAAAGTGTCGGTTATTTCATGGCCTAGCCAATCTCCTGACATCAACCCCATCGAAAATTTATGGAAAGAGCTTAAAAGAAAGTTATCTGGTCAAGCATTTTCAAATAAGGATCAACTATGGACCACAGGTCAAAAAGAGTGGTATGCTGTACCAAATGAAACTTGTCAGTGCTTGGACGAGTCAATGCCAAGAAGATTGAACTAGGTTCAACTTAACAATGGAGGACACAGCGATTACTAAGCGTCATTGGTCTAATAAAACTGATACGATTATTTTCAAGCTTTCTATACTATAGTTTTATGCAACACACCTATTTCACTAACCAGGAATATTTTATATTGGATTTTAATGAGTGAGTCATTTAATGTTTTAACATTGAGTTTTCTCGTGCAATTACTTAATTTTTATTACACTAAAGCGAAACTTAAAAGTCGAATAAAATGAAGTTGAATGAGCATAACATAAAATTTCGTTTCTATTTTACCTACACCTATTTTAATGACCAGTAGTGATGTATGTTACACTCACAACATTCACTGCGTACGTACTACACAATTTATTTCTTAAGGATATCAATCATCACAGTCATTTATTATAGGTGAAATTTCATAACAAGATAGCTTATGTAACGTAATATCAACTCTAGACTGAACTTGGCTTAATTTGCACCAACTTTCCTATGATCCGTTATATTTGAAACATTTTTGTGCCATTTTGAAAAATGAATCGATTTAAAATGATTGATTAAATCGGTGAATCGATTATTTTCAAAAAAATCATGATCTTCTACTCATTAAGCAAAAACGGTTGCTCTTAAGCCGCCGTGCCCCTTACATTACCACAATCTACAACCGACTTAACAAAAAGCTATTCAAATGAAGCGAAGTCTCTGAAAGTAGCCAACAATGTCTTCCAAACTGGCTCACGCATACACGATTTCCGAAACTCATGGCTTAAACAATTCAACTATTGGTTATTAACTGCGCTTTATGCTCTCGGAAACCAACGATGGGGGTTTATTATGTTGTGTGATAGCTTGGAGTTAAACCCATGATATTCTGCTCATTGATCAAAGCCGATCCATCTAAGGTTATCGAGCATCTACCTCCACGGCAGAATATGATTAGGTTTCACTTGGTATGTAATGAACAACAAAAATACGCGATAATTCATATAGTTTCAGCGGCTGATGGTTAATTTTAAATATACTAACGGTGCTGCCAACAGCGAATACGACGGCGCCTACGACGATGTCAAAAGCGAACTTGTAACTTACCATTCGTCTAGGATATACCACCTTTGCCCGGAACCTCCACTTGAGCTTCATGTCTGCTATCTGTCACTGTTTGCAAACATATCTAATAGCAACTACCTTTGTTGTAATGCTTCCTTCAACGAAAACAAATTTTCTTGCATTACCATGTTCATCTGGGAGGAGGTTCGTGTCTAGTGCTTTCCCCAGGAACCGTTCACGGCCACCAGTATTGGGCGTATACAGCGAGGTATCCTTCAGCTCGCTCACAATCTCCGATACTGGCGAGAGACCAGCAGACTCGTGACGGACACATTATCAGCACTTTCGCCGGCTAATTTGCCAACAGGACCGTGTTCAAACTCGCACAAGATGACGAGACTGTCGATAGAACTACACGCCAAAAGCGTGACATCCTAACACGGTGAACCGGCCTCCCGGGAGGCAATGAAAATCACAAGCACACTTACACACCGCTGGTTACAAAAAACACACCCGTGCAAAGAAACGAATCCAATAAACGTCACTCTCGCGAAAGCAAACCCGTCGTCGTCGGACAGCAAAAAAAAAGAATTGGTGAGCAAGTTTGTGATACGGAATTTCCACCGAAAATCAACCGGGAATGCACGAATTTCACCACACCCAACTGCGAAACCATAGTGTTTGAGCCACTTAAACTTAAACTCAAACCGAGTCTCATAGCCGGACCGGAAAACGCGTCAGCAGCCTCTCTAGTCAGAGAGTGGCGCTTAAGCTGATGTGCGTTGTGTGCACAATACGAACGTTTCACATTAAAGTGGACGCCAAGCAGATCTCCGGCCTGGAGTTTTTCGTCGGAAGTCCCGCCTGGATGTTCCGGAGAAGTTCCGGAAGAAAAAGGTCGAACAAATGGCCTAGAAGTACATAGTGTGGCAGGCGATCTGTGGGTGCAGCGAATTCAGCAAGCCGTACATAACGACCGGCACCATCAACGGCCAAATATATAAAGAAAAATGCCTCCAGAAGTGCCTGCTGTCCTTCCTCGGGTCCCACGAAGGAGACACTCTGTTTTGGCCAGATCTAGCATCGTGCCATTACGCGAAACCGGTGATGGAGTGATACGAAGCCAACGATGTTGTCTATGTGCTGAAGGAGGCAAATCCACCAAACTCGCCAAAAGTTCACCCAATAGAAAAATTCTGGGAAAAAACAGGGAAGGTCTTCAAAAACGACAAGGATTTGAAGAAAGAGCGTAAGAAATATGGCGCAAGTGTTGCACAGGATTTGATGGGTAGCGTTAAGTCCAAGGTGCGCGAATTTAGCCTAGGAGAGGAGGTTGAATAAACCAACTATGCAAAAACATAGCTAATATGTCTTTTTTATTCCCTGGGAGATTCAAAAATATCCGACTTAAAATGAATTTTTGGTAATCATTTTTGTCTGTTGCATTTTTTTTCAAGTACAGTCTTTAGATAAAATATGCTCTGGAAATTTGGGGAAACTTTGCAGAAGTTCTGTGAAACTGTGGGGAAGTTGAAAGAATTTTAGCAAAATTGAGAAAGCATAAAGCAGTCGATAACAATTCTCAAAAGCTTCACAATCTTTACAGAAGTTACGTGTAGCCCGGTTAATGATCATCTGGAAGATTTAGGGAACTATTTAGGAAGCTCTAGGGAATTTTCTTCAACATTTGGAAAAAAATTCACCAATTGGCATGTGATCTGATGTGTCGTATAAAGTTTTTGGTTTAAGAAGAATCTGGCCTTGTATAGTAAAACAATCATATCAGGATAGAACAGTGGTTGAAGGTTTAGTTCATCATGGTTAGGATCTGGATTCCCGAAAGTTGTTTACGCCTCACAAATCGACAGCTAACACAACTGAATTTATTGGATTGTATTACAAACAAACTATACCCATATTTCAGTGTCTATTAGCGGGAACTAAATTATGTTCACAAGTATTTATAAGTTGTTCCATTACAATTATGGACTCTCGTGAAAGCGGACGATGAATTTAATGTGGTCGGAGGCGCACATACGTAAATTCAACGAGTAACCAGCTCTCAAGTTATCATGACAGCACTGTTCTATATGCTTCAATTTATTCACATACCATCTGGCGACTGTGCATGAGAAATAAACGATAGCTATTACAGAGCAGGTCTGGGTGATACAAAGTTTTAAGTGTTTCACCATTTTTCAACAAATTTAAAGAAAATTGCCTGCCAAGGCAAGTACCTTGAAGATTCACAACCTGCTTCAAAATCTACATCCCTAGTGTACATAAGAGTGACTGAACAGTTTTCACAGAATTCACATCTTTCATACTCCGTACGGCCTGTGAAATTGTTGAACCTCAGGTATTATTTATGAATAATGATTAGTTTTATGCAAACGGTCGTTTGCATGCACAATTTACTGGAAATCCATCACGCTTTCCTGCCTTCGTTATTGAATTCATTGGGTAACGATATTTTCGATCTGCTTCTGAAAGTTGCTCTTTCCAATGTAACGCCTCCGCCAGAAGAAAAGGGTTCAATGATTCGTGTGCCTTTGGAGTTTGCAATTTACAAACGAATCAACTTTCGTTTGCCTTGCTCCAGGATCATAGCGTGGGTGCCGGTGCTTATTGGGATATTTCCTAAACAAATTCCCACTGCTTTTGTTCTACTCAAACGACGCACATGCTTTATGTGTAACAAAATTGTAGCGTTTTACTTAGCGCGGTTGTTCATTACAGAAGGCAAAGGCCGCGTGGCGTATCATATTGATAGACTTCAACAATACCTGCAAAACTTTTCACCTTTCAACCTTTTCGTCTTCCTTTACAAACCAGGTTTTCTCGCTGTGCCAAGCTCCACTTACAATCCGATTAGGCTCATTACTTGCATTTCGTGCTGGAAAGTCATGGCTGTTGAGAAAATGGTATCGTTTCAGCAGCAGTCGAAACAGGTAGGGTAGAGAACTACTTCGGCCTAATCGCCCATTTCGGGCCTATCGAGCAGAAAACTTCAAATAAATCCATGATTTCAGAGTTAACAAGTCAATTATGCGTTTGGTACGATGCTTTAGTTAATAAGCTACCGAACGAAGTCAATGAGAACGTGTGGTATGAAGGTTTGCACCCATTATTCCCAAAAACAAAAGAAGCGCTCCGACCGAATCAATTTTTATCTTCATCCGATAGGCTCGATAGGCCGAAGTAAATTCATTGGCGTTTCAATTGCGTTTCAATGCATTAGGCCGAGTTTAGAATCCGTAGGCCGAGTTTGGCGTCAAGAAGCAGTGTTAGACTTTTGACAATATCTCAACGATTGGTTTCTCCTTTTCAAATCTTACGGTACGTACGGAAAGGTAAATACATTTTGAAGCCATCAGTAATAATAACATTCCGTTTGGTGCTAAACTGCGCTAGATTAAGAAAGATGAAGTGCGGGTTGTGCTTAATAGTTCGGAAATAGGGTAGTTAACCCTACCGGAAAATTTTTGAGAGCTTCGAACTGGAAGGAAGGTTGTTAAGAGGGTGAAACAAAACTGAAACAGGTTTACATAAATGTCTTGTTAAAAAATACAGTTTCCATCAGGTCATCGATTTACTTGATACATAAACATGGAAACGAATGTACTTTGGGATGGTTCAAATATCCACAGTCCCCACCCTTCTGTGTCTGGCTATTTCCAATACTTATTACTCGTACTGACACAAATTATAAAAATCCCATCTCGCATTTAATAGTGGACGTCATATTTGAATCGTCCCTTTATGAAGCATTCCTGAATTGAGTGGCACTTTCCACTAAAGATTTTGAATGGCAGTCTGTGAATGAGGTGAATTTTCTTTAGATAGCATCAGTTATTGTTGTTGTTGGGTTTGTACTGAATGCTATAATACAAAGTACTATAACACCTTTAAAAAAAAATCGACCATACTGATGTCCTCAATTTAAGTAGATCATAAATCATCTCAGCATCATTATCTGCCATTGCCACTTCCACTTGGGGCAAATCTGCTATTCAAATTTCACAGCGAACAATTAATGCCAACGTTTACGGCTCAATTGTGATACAAAAGAATGACGACTGTTGATAGAGGGCGCACACTTCACAGTTTCACACAATATAACCCACACATATTTTACATTCGAAAATGTCACTAGAGGGTAAGTCAACTCGACACACACGACGGGGGAAGAAACGTTTAATGTAGATTTGTTTTGTGTGTACAAATCATTCAACTCTAAAGGATCATTTGCCCCTGAGTTAACTCCTTTTGTTGTTGGTTACAGCTGACTATTGTGATCCGCATCTCCATTCACCGGGAGGTAAGCTGGGTTTGTTGGAGGGAATTGTAGCTAATATGGAGAATTAATAAAGTTGATGGTGTTGGCAGTAATAAATTGAGCCCATTATTTATTGTCATTCTTAAGCCCAAATTGAAGTTTATAGTGAGCAAATTTTCGTTAAATCTTTAAAATCAATATCAATTTTCATTATTTGCTTTTTCACACGAACTGTTCACTGCCTGCTGGTCCACACTTGATCGACAATGTAAAAAAAAAATATTATAATTAACTCATAGCTTACGTTTCACCTGCACTTTGGCGGAGCTCCCACTCTAACTTGGAGAGTAGAAATTTATTCGAAAACTTTGTTATTCAATTACTTCCGGTTCTGTTATTCACTGCTCTTGCCGTAATATGGTAGCTCGCACTACCATTTATGAGATTAAAACCATTTGCTGTTAAAAAATGCTGCACCTTTGCTCCGTTCATAGCTTTTCTAAAGATGTGCGATATAGAGCAGTTCCACGTCAAATGACGAATCGATCTGATGGGACATTCTCTGATTAGCATGCAAAATTACATAATTGTTTGTTATGGTCAATCATGGCATATTCGATAATTTTCAATGCCGTATTCGATATGTTTCAACAAATTATAACGTCTGAGACAAAGTTGTATTTGAGATCTTCGACAAAATTCTTCTGTATAATATTACCAATCTAAATTCAAGATTTGACCAAATTTGACCAATTTTTGATTTTTTGTCAAGAAAATGAATAGTTTCATTCTGTTTCCCATACATTTTCCCATACAAATTAAGCACAGTGCATGGAATATGGGTATTTTCAGGTAGGGGACGACGTGTAGAGGCTGAAAATCGATGTCCAACGCCTAATTGAAATCCAAGATAGCACCCATTGGTTTATAAAAATCTGTGAAATGCCTTAAAATACCGGTATTTTCGGAACGGGGGCAACATGTGAATGTCGAGAAACGATTTTTTGTTTGTTTATTAAT